AAAACAAAACACAGCAGAACAATTTATGCACAAAAGCAATTTTCCAAAAAAGAACCTATTTCCTAACCATGCAGTTGATCGATACAGTAAAAACAAGTACAGTAAGTGTAGAGAGACGCTCTCAATTTAAAAAATCGAAAGTAAAAAAAAACAGGATTAAGCTTCAAGGTATGCCAATGCAGCAAGTGATAAGGAGTGTCTCAATGTTGATCCGGAATAGATCGAGTCATTTGAGCCAAGTTGTAGGTCAATGAATTAGTAAAGAGTAATTACGTCTAATTACTTTTATTAGATCTAGGGTTTAAGTTTTGTTATAAATTGGTGGTCTTGTATTGTATTAGGGAACTTTTGGAATGATGTAGAACGATATGAAACCTTTGGCTCTGTAGGTTCCTGGACGAGAATGTTTATCCAAGGCGTCAAATGGTGGCAATTGTATCCCTTCGTTGTTGGATTTTGCATCTTCTATTTAATTAGTGTATCTCCTTTTTATCTTCTTTCCTATTTTCCCTGATTTCCATTTTCTTATTTCAGATTTCTGTTCTTTACATCTTCCCGTTATTTCCTTACTGAATTTTGCACTCATACCCTTTGGCAACATCATTTACTATCAGAGCTTAAATTTCTTGATTCCAATTCGTGCTATTTCAATATAAAATAACCTTCTTGCTGTCTGTTCTTCTCTTTCGTTTTCTGTTTGTTGCCGTTGGAATTCTCTGCCATTACTATTATTCTTGCTGAAATTCAATCGAGGATTTTTTTAGTTTTTAGTTTAATGAAATTCCATTCAGAAAAAACAGAGAACTCTATCTAGGATTTCCCCCCATTTCGTGCCCAAATTCTATGGCTGCTGGAATCACCTTTACAGATAACTCTATAGCAGCGGTTCAAATTGTTGGGTTGCTGAATTGCAATTGAAGTGCGCAGGGAATTGAGCTTGCCGTGGGAGTATTTTGAAACAAGTACACTAAATGATTGAGACAAATAGGGTGGACTTCCAATTAGCAAGTGGATTATTAGGCACTCTGCATTGCATTCAACCGCTGTTCTAGAGCCATATCCTAAATAATAGATACGTCTTTTGTGTTCATAGCAGTATGCATTGATTTCAGTGGGTGTAATTAAAAATCCTTGAAAATAATCGTTCAGAACCTGCCTAAGCAGATTCTTGAATGCAAAAATAGATTCAGCCAGCCAATTTGGAATCTAGTGATTAAAGAACACACTATTTCAGGATAGGTGAGGGAAAAAAGGTTATAGTGGGGTCAGAACCTTGCCAAGATTGGTTTGCTTGGACCTTTATGATTGCCCATGTGATTGTAGGCATTTTCAACTATTTCTTGAGAAAAAAATCAGATTCTTGCTGCAGCTTCTGCATCCAGCCAATGCTTAGAGCCAACTAGAAATAGTCCCAATCCATGCCGCAGGATTTAGAATGAAGATTGAGTGATACCATTGTTCCTTGAAGTCTGATAAGTCCAAAACTCAGGTTGTTGAAATTTCATAACCAGTTTGGATTTAAAAAAAAAAGAGTGGGTTGTTTCTGGTTCTTGCAATTTCTTTATCATCCATATGAGTTCCTACTGCAATCCGAGTTCTGTTCTGTCCTAAGAAACTATTAAGGGTGTCTGGGGTGGTTGCAACCTTTTAAAAAGGTGGTTGTAAAGTTGTGGTCGAGATAAATTCTTAAAAAGCTACGGCAGGAATCATAAATATGTATTTTTTCCAAAATAAATCAGACAACGGCTTCCTTAAAGCCACCGCACTTTCATAAGTCAGGCTAAAAAATACAGCTTCTTATAACAAAAATTTCTAAGAAGTAACAAGAAAGCAGTTGTCACAAATAGACCCTAAGTGATGAGAATTGCAGTGGAATGGCTAAGAGGGGAATCAAAGATAAATACTTAAAAAATAGAGATGGAGGAGCACCTCTCACCCAAGGACTGTATTAATCCTTATCCAAAATAGGTGTGGTCGAGTCATTTGAGTCAATTTGTGGGTCAGTGTATTAGTAATGGCATTTTCATCTATTTACTTATATTAGAATTGAGGTTTGAGTTTTGTTATACATAGACATGCCTGTGTTGTATTAGGGAACTTTTGGAATTATGTAGAAACACATGAGAGCTTTGGCTTCGTAGGTTCCTGGATGGGAATGTGTCTGTATCCTTCATGTCGGGTGATGACAATTGTATTCCTTCGTTCTTAATGGTGCATCTTGGGTCTTTTATATCTTATATCATTTATTTAATAGTGTATCTCATTTGTATCTTCTTCCATATTTTCTCTGATTTCCAGTTTCTTGTTTCTGATTAATGTTATTTACAATTTCTCTCGATTTGTTGTTGAACTCTACACCCATACCCTTTGCTGATATTGTCCACTCAAATTTAAGATTACATTATAGCAAATAAAGTTATTACTAGAAAATACATTATTAAAAGATACATACAATCATATTTTATCATAATTTATTCCTTTTATGAACGTTGCTGTTACTTAGACCTGTGTTCAGAACTTCATCAAAAAGTATGCATAAACATTTTCATCAAATCCAATTTCTTCCGTTCTAATAATATATCCAACATAAATATTCTGCCATAGAAAGGTCTAACTGAGCGCTTTTAGCACAAAATCTGCAGGAATGATCCAAGCAAGTTTAAATTTGCTTTCAAAACCCACGCCAATGGTTACAAATATCTTGCATTAATCCTCATCAAGAAAAAACAAGTTCAACCTAAGTTTGATTAAAAAATAAGGTCAAGTGAAAATTAGGACTCTCTTAAAATTGCTGCAATTAGTAACCTAAAAATCTTAAGATAATGCAAATTTAAGATAGGCTCGAATTTCATAGCACCAAAATCAACAATCAATTATAGGAGCGCTAAGATGGTCTACCATCTCTATCTATGGTTCAGGCTACAAAATTATATACTTGTTCTAATCCTAAAATACCACAAATATGTTGATAAAACAAGTTTGTTGCATTCAAAAGCTAAAATATCTGGACCACAAGAACTTAGTGGTCAAGGCTTAACGAGAACATCAATTGAGACAAAAACACAACTTACTTCATTAAGATGAGAAATAGAAAAAAGCTTCGATGTCATTGACAAATGAAGTGCCCAAACTAATCTCTGTTTAAGTTGAATAGCCAGTGAGGTTTGACTATGTCTAAAATTAATATTTATATATGTTAAATGAAATTTAGGGAAATTAAACAAGGACAAAAATAGCAGATAATGAAAGGCTAAATACTAGAAACATGATAGTAAAAGCAATGGATAGGCAGATAAAGAAAAAAAAATTATTGCAAAGTGCAAAATTAATGATAGTGATTTATATTAACTGAATTAAGTAAAAATAAATTATCTATGTGACTATAATTACTGTTCCCCAATTAAATTAAAATGATTTGGAAAATGATAGATCAACTACTATTATGCATAAACTACTAATGAATCCATATACACGACGTATACAACAAAGAAATGATAGTTAAATTGTCTTTATTGATCTTCAGAAGGAAATTGATCAAAAACCATGATAATTGATTAAACGTCTTGAAAAGAGATTGAAACTATTAAACACATATGAGATGGAGCAAATGGCATACTACAAGTGGTTTTATGCAGGCCAAATTGTTCCAATAAGTATAGTAAGAATCAACATTAAATTCATATCTTAGTATAAAAAACCACACAAAATATTCAAAGTAATGCACCTCGGTGCATACCATTTGCAAATTATGACGTTCTAATGTGAGAGACTTCTGCTAAAACAAGTGAAAAATTAGAAAAAAGAAATTTATGTAAGATAATAGATAGGGTAGTACAACAAAAATAAAATGAGCCATGTGTAATTTTAGAGCATGTGAACGTAATAATCAATTAAAATTATTAGATGAATGAGTGAATACTAAATTGTGATGATTCTCATACCTTGGACATAACATTGAAGAAAAGATGGATAGATGAGTGCATAAATTCTAGATTTGTTACTTAGAAGTATTATAAGAAAAAAAAAATCACAAAGGCTAACAAGTAATGGTACAACAATACAATTAGGCTAACTATGCTATTTATAATAGCCAAGTTAAATTCAGCACAAATAAGATGTTAATATTATGTGATGGCAAGGATAAACTGTGAAATAATCTATATTAAAGAGGTGGTTGAACTGAAACCTGATAAAAAAGTCAGTGAACAAATTAAAGCGGCTGTGATAGATTACAAAGAGGAAAACAAAAGCTCCAATAAAAGCTGTAGAATAAAATTATTCTAAAGAAAAATGGGTTGACCAAAAGCACATGGCTAAATTGTGCACAAAATAAAATTATTATAAAAATTATGGTTTGACCATAAAAAGGTTGCTGAAATTGTGTACAATATAATTTAGATTAACTTCAATTTTGCATATAAATGTCATTACCCTACATAATAACTTCAGCAATTAGACAATGACTTGCAACTATCACAAACACAAAATTTCTCATTTCCCAGGTAATTGAAGTTAAGGAAAGCACACAATTCTAAAGAAAAAATATTGAGAAAAAAAACAACCAGATTATAAGTATTAAAGTTCTTTTAAAACATTTCAAATATAGCCATAAGCCCAAGTGTCACCATAAATATGACACCTTAAAGAAACCCTATTAAGAAAACGCTGAATTCTTCACCTCCAGTATAAGAATTCACAATGACTAAAAAAAATCATTGAGACGAACATAGGAGAAAACTAACCAATTCAAGAAGCTCCCATTAATATTCATTTATTCAAATGAAAACTAAAATTAATACAATCACAAAATGACATAGTTTAACATTGAAGGTCACAGTTTAAAACATAGACACAAGTTATAGTGCAAAACGCACATCTCAAGCCAATATGCATGAAGAAACCTAGAAAATCCAAACAAGCAATTTTAATATCCTAAGAATGTAGTATCAAGAATAAAACCAGTAACAACAGTAGAGTAGAGAACAGTGCTGGAAATTAAAAAAAAAAAAAACGCCATATATAGATCGGTTCAAATCAGCTAATATAACAGCAAAAACCATAAGGGAAAACATTTAAACTACAGAGCTTATTCAACAACATAATGAAAACAAAGAGCGCAATCTTGTAATTATCCAAAAACATTAATGGAAAATACCGAAACTAAAATGGGAGACATCGGCAAGGTAGAAATTCCTTCTAATAAAGTTAATCAATATCCTGGAGCGATGGAGCAGCGCCAGCGGCCACCTCTTCAGCCGAGAACTTTCCCTTGGCCTTGTCAGCAGCGCGACCGCGAGCCTTCCTGTCAAGGAGAGACTTTCGATCCTTGTCGAGCTTAAGCTTTGTAATGACGACCTTCGAGGGGTCGATGCCGACGTTGACTGTAGATCCATTAACCTTCTCGCGTGTGATTCGCTCAATGTGAATCACCCATTTCTTGCGGTAGACCTGGACGATCTTTCCCTCTCGGCCTTTGTAGGTTCCACGCACCACCTGTACCTCATCGTCCTTCCTCACGGGAATTGACCTTACGCTGTACTTTCCACGAAGATCGGATGACAGTGGCGCGCTCATCAGCTTCCGCCGGACGCTAGAGGGAGCGGTAAAGTGAGCCTTCCGGGACTTGCGACGGGAGCTCGAAACTCTAGGGTTTACCTTCATGGCGATAAGAGCGGGGCGGCGACGATGGGAATGCTAAAGCAAGCCCTAATTTACAGAATAGCATTTATATACCGTGGAGTCCACATGGGTCGGCGGAGTCCGCTTGATAGGATGCAGGGAAATTTGCATGCGTATGGCAAAATTATTACTTATCTAATATTTAAATTTTTATGTTTATATTTGTTAATTTTGAATTGTTTTTTTAGAAATGCATGCCATGAGACTTAGGGCCCTTTTGGGGGCAGTTTATAAGTACGGGTGGCGTTTTTGAAACGCCACCGTACCGTTTGGTTCGCATGTTTCGCTAGTTTATTTGAAATCGCGTTTGGGTTTTTACACTAAACGCAGACCTCGGGCCGAACCCCGTGGCTCGCCCGCGTGCTGCATTTCAATATAAGCAGTTTATCCTGAAACGCACAAGCTGCCTCAAACGCACCCTTAGAGTGAGGATAAGGAGGAGAAGAAAGAAAGGAAATTCTTAATAGAGAGGCCGCAAAAAAATCCTGAAACCGAGGGCCCTTTTATTCGTCTTTTTGTGTCTATTTCAAAGTGTATTTATACAATTACAGAAATGAGGGACGGTTATGAAAATCGCCCTTAATGCAATCAATGTGTTAATTTAATACTAAATTTTTATTACAATTTGAACACAAATATCGTGGCAATCAATCAGTCGATGTGTTCTACTTTGATCGACTCAGGCGCTCGATCAAGTGGCGATTGCACCTAATAAAGTAAAAGCTGATTTGTCGGCTAGTTGCGATCGGGCGACTTTATAATCATTTTAGGCAGTCGGGACCGTATGCGTGGTCCACCAATTGAATCTCTGTTCATAATATGTCGGTTGACTTTAATAGGGCGGTTGGTCGTTGAACGGTCGGTTCAAATCATGCTCCTTAGTAATCAGTGGTACTAAAATCAAGAAAATTAATTTGATAGTTAACTTTCCTTTGGATTTTGTGCCTCGCACGCTTGATAAATAGAGTTAGAGGCTTGGCATTGCATTCTTCGTAGCGATTTTCTCTTGGATAGTCGAGGCACATCATGGTTGATGGTAGGAGCCAAATCGAGCCCAAAATTCTAACCAGGGCGAGCTTCCAGGCCCCAACCTACTCCGATAGACGTAGTCGACTGGTCTGATGGCACTGCGGAATGGTCGTCGAAGAAGCTCCGCCATGAAACTCTAGTGTATGGACCTAATGCAAACATGGTTGTTGAAGGTCAGTATGACCCAATTGGTGAAGAGGTTGAGGTCAGGAAAAGGAGCTGAAAAAAGCAACGGTCGTCAGTTCTTCCTAGCCTTCACCTTAGAAAGGAGCTATCTTATTGCAAGAGAGATGAAGTTTCGAGAGCTATCTATGGAATGGGTAATATTTTAGGTATGTAAAGAGTCTCCTTTGTTATTAGCAATTTTTTTATAAACTTTGTGATGTTATCTGTGATGCAGATGAAACAGTTGGGTTGGAGGGCCGCGAAGGTTGTGTGCCTTCAAAAGACGTTGCAAAGTCCGCCCTCACTACAGTGCCCAATCTGTAGGATGAATTCATGGGACTTATGCCAACAATCAACTTGGAAGGGCATAGGTCGTCAGACTCTTTGCCCGCTACTGGCTCCCAACAGAAGCGATCAGGGCGACAACCGCCTTCTCCCAAGCCCATGGAGTAGCAGGCAGAGAGGACTAGACCCTCGCTAGTGTCGGTCAATTCGTTGTAGAGCGGTCGGAGGTTCAACCTAAGATCTTGTGCGAGAGTTTTCAGTTCACCTGACAACTAAGGATTTAGAGGCAGCGACTCTACGAGCGGAGGTCGCCATCTTGCAAAGCAAGCTGGTCGAGGCGTTGTGCGAGTTGGCAGCACTTTACAAGTTGACTGATTTTGGTGAGTTTCATCGCAATGTTAACCGAGTGGATTAGATTAGATTAGGCAGATAGATGGTCCTCTGAAGGATGACTCAGAGGGGCATGTTCCAAGTAAGGTCTTGGAAGACTCGTTCATAAAACACTTTATTTTATATTTATAATGATGATTTAGTGCAATAAAATGTCATTTAAATAAATTCAAAAGAATGGTTGGTATGATACTTATCACTATGTGATGCTTCGTTTTATGCACTCGATTATAAATATGGTAAGGAACCGCTTTTCGCCCTTTAAGCATTCTGATTTATTTTGTTGTGTCTATGATCCTTCTACTTTCATCTTTTGGCCTCCTTTTGTTCTCTAAGATGACCCAAATTCTCCCCCACCTTATTCGGCTCTGTCGGGAGTACTGATCCTTCATTCTTAAAAAATGATAATGTAAAGGAGTTGCAAAGAAAGTATGTTTTCATGACAACTTCATTACTTGAAGGATGTCAGGTCAGCGTGAGTGACGAACAACATGGGTAGGGATCTTATTTTTTATCAAGACTAGCTCAATTACGGTCTCTAGTTGCATTTGTGTGATGAGCTCTAGAGTGTTTTCAATAAATGTGGGGTTATTCCGGTGCAAGTACTGCCAAAATCAATAGCCACAATAATGACTTTCATCCTTTATTATCATCGGGAGCATATTTCATGGTTGATCAACCTGTTTAAGCACCTTTTCTCTTTCATGGTTGATAAGGGGGCTTTGTCATATTTTCAGCAGGCAAGGAACTCCCTCTACTAGGAGTGGAAAATAATATAAAAGATTGAAAGAAGAAGTTTATATTAGGTTCTTCTTCTTGTGACTGGGGGATTCGAACCGAGCCACCTGAGTGAGTGCTGGACACGTGATACGCCTAAAAATGTACTTTTTTCATGCTTTATTTTATGAAGAAATTGCACTTTAAAGGTATGTTTTTTATGTTTTTGATTGTAGGTACATCAAATTGAAGAATTTAGAGCGATTGGAACAAAAGGGAAAAAAATGGATCAAAACGGAGTAAATCATGTCGAATCGGGGCACACCGGAGCTATGGGGACCAAAACCGAGCACTTAAGTGCCTGTGCCCAGTGCTTAAGCGCCCAAATATGGCGCTTAGGCGCCACCAGACAAAGAGGAGGGCGCTTAAGAATCGGTGCTTAGGCGTAAGAGACGGTTTTCAACATATCTTCTAGAATATACTTTGGATTTGGACCATTTTTGAAGCGATGTTTCGTGTATCTCTTGGGGAATTCGTTGGACATGTGAAAAGAGACTTTCTAGAAGAATTTGGGGCGGTTATATGGAAGAATTTGGGGCACTTTCTAGAAGAATTTGGGGCGGTTATATGGAGTTATGAAGAGTTACTTGAGGCACCATTTGGAAGATTCATTGAATCTAAAATTTTTTGAAGAGACACCTAAGCATCTCTTGGGAAATTATAAAAAAGGATTGAAAATGTTTTAAAATAACTCTTGAACTTTTAAATAAATAAGAAAATGATAAAAAGACTTGGAGAAAAAGAAGAAGGCTTGGGCATGAGCCCCAAGTGGGGCAGCAGGGTGAGAGAGAGAGAGAGAGAGTGAGAGATTTCTTCTTTTCTTTTTACTTTGTTCTTGGAGAGGATTGTAAGGAGATTGCTTTTGCTATACAAGGAGAGTTTGATTTCCATCAGAGATAAGTATTTTCATTGTATTTTGATTTAAATTTATTACTTTATTTGTATGGTTTTAAAGTCTTGTTCAATGAAAAGTTCTTATTATTTCTCCATGTGTAGTGAGTAGTTTTCTTTACTCTTCCCTCTTGTAATGAATTAGTATGCATGTGTAGGATATAGAATTGAGTAGAGAGAGAAATTTTGTGATGATTTTACTTTATTCTTCATTTACATGTAAATTTGATCAACCTACATGTTAAAATCTGTTGTGAGAAAATGTAAGATCCGGGTTAGTATTGTCTCAATCAACTATGACAGAATCACATGAGATTGTATGGATGAGAATGTAGTCCATATGATTCAGTGCAAATAAATAGAAAAATAATCTTTAATGGGTGTAGAGTTAAAAGACTTTAGAGTGACAGGCTAAAGCCCCCTAATTTGTTCTATTGTTTTAGGTTTTGATGCGAGGGATAAGAGAGAACTCTAAAGTGAGAGCTAGTATCTTCCCTGCCTAGCCCGTCTTCAGAACTATTCAAACTTTAGATTAACCAATATTCTTTATAGCATCTCTAGTAAGGGTAAAGAATATAATTTCTCCTATTGTCACAATCTCTCTCACTACTTGTTTTATTTTTATATATGTCACTAATTTCATTGCACAAGAAAGAGTACTTTTAATATATTAAACCCCACTTTCTGATTTTTGCTAAGTATTTTAGTTTAGAAGTATAAGTAGTATTGTAGTGGTGATTGTAGGATATAATCAAAACCAAACCTTTATTGACCTTCCAAGCTAGGGCGTGTTATTCTAAACTAGAACTTCTCTTGAAAGTCGTCGTGATTAACCTCAATCTCCGTGGGATCGATATTCGAGGCTTAATCAGAAAACTCTATATTACTTGATAACGATACGTATACTTACGTAGAATCCCTACTATTTAAAAATATAATTGAAATCTTACTTTGCTTGGGATCAAGTTTTTTGTGCCATTACCGGGGATTAAAATCTTCAAGTAGTGGTGTCAACTTCATAAATCTTACATATAAAAAATATCGAGATCAAGTTTTTGGCGTCTTGTCAGGGATTAAAATCTTCAAGTAGTGGTGTCAACTTCATAAATCTTACATATAAAAAATATCGAGATCAAGTTTTTGGCGTCTTGTCAGGGATTAAAATCTTCAAGTAGTGGTGTCAACTTCATAAATCTTACATATAAAAAATATCGAGATCAAGTTTTTGGCGTCTTGTCAGGGATTAAAATCTTCAAGTAGTGGTGTCAACTTCATAAATCCTTACATATAAAAAATATCGTGATCAACAGGTTGAAATCTCTTCCATTGAGTATGGATGTCGATAAGATGATTCTAACTATTTTTCATCTCTCATTCCCGCAGTACGCCCTAAGGTGACCTTTTCCCATGTGTTGAGGAGCAAAATAACCAAGGAACAGTGGCACCTCTCGAATATTGACGAGGTGATCAGGGCCAAAGCAGAAAAAAAAAGAAGCTAACTG